GGTTTGTGGTGGGTGTGGGAAGAGGGAGGGGGGGGGGGGGGCAAGGGGGAGGTGCATGCAGAGAGGGGATTCAGGTAAGCTAAGGGAATCCTTCCACTTACCTAGTTTCAGGAGCCAGCCCTCACGGCTAGGGTTGAAGAAAGTATGTGTGAGATCATTTCCATCATCTTCTGGTATGGAGAAAGGCTCGTTCTTTATGCTCTCAAACAGACTCTGCCCCAAAGTGTTGGTGGGATAGGGAGAGAAAGAGAAAAAAAAGACATATTTCTGACAAAGCTTGTACACAACTGCCCTGGGTCCATCCAGTCCACCACTGTTTCCATAGGGGCAGGCAGGTGAATGGGGAGGGGAGTGGGTAGTGAGCACTGGGCATACAACAGACCTCAGTGTACACCTCACAAGGTCTCAAGTGGAACAGCCATCTTTTCGCTGCATCCTTTGTCAAAACAGGCCCATTTTGGAAACCCACGGGCACAAAAGTGCGTGCCCATATGAAGAGAGACTGCAGCGCCTGACCGCAGCATGTCACACAAGTGCCACTATGCGTAGTACTAAGGAAGTGGGCAGGGGAGGAAGAAGGTGACAGGGCCTGCAGCCCCATTTAGGCTGTGGGCTCTGAGCGCCATCCAATAACCAAGCACTCAGTTGAGAACATGTATGCACAGACCCCCACACAGATCCGCTTGACCACAAGGAGACACATTTCGCAGTAGGGAGGCATTTGCACAGAGAGACACCGCATGTGACATTTATAATAGCAGAGTGGCAGGGAGGCAGGTTACTAGTTTTACAGTGATACAAAGATGACACCTGCATCATTGGCATTTGCCATCATTTATTGCACAAGCCCCAGCTCCTGAATAAAATTAGAAGTATAGGCACCTACAACTTCCCTCAAATTGCCTAAAAGAAGTGACACAATGGAGAAAAATCTAAAGCCTTTAGCCTGAGGAGATGCTGCTCAACAAACCCAAGGGTGCAATGCTAGCAGGCTCTTTGACACAAGGCACAAGTTATTGCCCACAGGCTCTTTGGGTGAGGCCAGGCACAGGCAGGCAGGCTGTCCACTTCTACCTTGCCTCAGAGGGCAGGTACTCTGACTGCTGAGCCCTTGGGAAAATGGTTGCTCCAGGTCTGCTAATCATCACCTCTTCTGCCTCTGTCTCCCCTTCTGTATCTTCATCCTTTGGGGTGAGACACCATGGACCTGCTGAGAGCTTTACAGATGCTGGAAGAGACCCTGACACTCTTCTGGGACTAGTTTGTTCTGCTCACATACAGACATGTCCTGGTATAAGAGAGGCCAGGCTCTGGTGTCTGGACTTACATGAGCACTGGAGTGAACTGGGACATTTAGATAGGAACAAGGGAAAGGGATTAATAATCTGGGCCACAGTGACATCCTTACCCAAGGCCGCCCCCCCCCCCCCCCCAAAAAAAAAAAAAAAACAAAAAAACAGACAGTCCCTGCCCCAAAGGCTAGGACTTTGAAAGCTAGTCAAAAGAGCCAGGTGCCCAGCCAGCTCCCAATGAGCTGGATGTCCCATTCATATAGATCTTTTGGGGAAAAAAAAAAAAAGTCATTCAAAGCTGGGACTCCAGGACATTAGTCTCTCTTTTGAAACTTGCAGAAGTCACTGACCAGCTTGGAAACCTGCCTCACACCTACACAACACACAGACACCCACAGCTCAGCCCTCAGCCTCCTCCCACACAGGTTTTGTTGCACTCTGTAGCTTGCTCATAGACTGCTTTTACAGGTGGGCTTTCCCTCACACCCCCAGAGCATCTCTCTGTTCTCTGCCTGTATTTTGTGTATATCCTGGCACACATATACTGGCTTTGTATCTCTATCTTTCAGTATCTCCTCTCTCACACAGTCAAAGTGTATGTTCCTCTCTCACACAGACACACTCACACATACAAGTTTGCTTAAACCCACGCTGCCATTCCCTGCATGTCTCTACGCCCATCTCCCCTGTTCCATGTCTTCACCAACAAGCATGTGTCCTGCCCCTATCCAAAGCAGTTTCTACATCTTTCAGCTCTGCTTTTGCACATATTGCCCTCTTTCCTGGAGCAGTCCTTCTGCTTGCATGGGAGAAGGTCAGTAGGTCTGTATAACACTGGGACCGATGGACCTTTGGTCTTCAGTGGACCTCAAGCCACAGAGAAAAGAGCGGCTGATGAGGAAATGAGAGGCCAGAGCCCTTCTTACCCTTAAGAGCTCTTCTGGCAGGTCACCTCCATTGTCAATGCCTCGGTTGATGGATACAAACCTCTCAAAAGGGGGTTTGTCTTTCACGTTGGGGTTGTGCAGGCTGGTGTTAAGCATGATGATGGAGAAGGAAAGTACATAGCAGGTATCTGTCAAGGAGGAAAAGAACCAGCATGGGTGGAATGTTGCTTTAAAGGGCGAATCTATCCAGATCCTAATATGTAGTATGGGTTCCAGTTACAGAACAGCCTTGTCCCCTCAGCTATAGGAGGCAATGGGAGATGTCCCCTTTGCTAGGAATAAGAGAGATGGACAGAGCTAGAGGAGAGTTGCTCTCCTATAATGGAAGCAATTCCCTGATGGGGCAAGTTGGGTAGCTCTGTGCCAGCAGATGTATTTCAATAAGTTGGTGTCTGTCAGTGCTAGTGCTGGCAGGGTTTTGTGTGCCTGCTGTGATGAGATACATGGGGCTCGGAGCACTTCAAGTCTATTACCTGTTGGGGTGGGTTGCAGCACAATAAGAAAAGGAGGGTTGGAGACCCTCAGCCTATTGAAAAGCTTCACAGGAACTGCACTAACTCCTTTCACTTAAGAGAAGAGAATACAAAGGGCAACGTCCACACTCCAAAGTGATGCCCTGTTTTTTGTGGCTGGGAAAGGAAGACTCCTCTCCTCAGCAAACAGTGGAACTCAGCTTCACAGGCTGCCTTCTCCCCATAACTACCTGTGGATTGGAATACTCCTGGGTTACACTTGCAGTACCAGTTGGCAAAGGCCTCCATCATCCGGTCAATCTTCTGTGCCTCCCCAGGCAGCCGGAAGCTCCACAGGAACTGTCTGTTGGGAATACCAGACACTTATTCAGACTGTGTCCAATCACAGGCTTTCCCTGAGCCCCTGGGAATACCATGAAAACAAGAGGAGTCATCCTACCACATAGGGAAGACAATATGGAGTGCCTCTATGAAGCAGGAGCTCAATTCCTCTCTCTAGAAGTGATCTGGGCTCATCAGCCTCAAACACCATAATAGGAGGTAGCAGAACTAAACATGCTGCAAATCATGGGTCCTGTTCCCTAATGAGTGCCCAGCAAGGTGCTCTGCAAGGGACCAGGGACCTCAAGAGAAAGAGCCTTGCCAGGAGGCCGCCCTAGGAAAGAGTCACTTTGTCACTAACGTAATGGGCCCTGTCACAGTATGACTGGCATGTTTCCTGGTGCAAAAAAATAAGTTACTCCTGTCTCCCTATCCATCCAAATCACAGTGACCTGCCCTGCTTTCCCCATTTCTCTGCATATAACTGACCCAGTCAACAGGCCGTGAAGGGGATCCCCTGGGGAAGCATGTCAACACATCTCACAGAGCAACAGGACATGCTGCCCAGACAGGCCTAGAGTCCCAGCCTGGGGAAGCCCAGTGAGGTCTCACAACCTTCCCAGCGGATCCAGTGGCTGAATAGGACTCTGCTCCACCCACTCCTTCCTCCATCTGCTCACTCACCTCAGTGCCTGCACCAGGTTGAGGTTGGCAAACTGGTGACATGCCACAAAGGCTTGGAGGATCTGAATGTTTGTGGGATCCCTGGGAAAGAATGGGGAGGAAAGGTGAGAAGAGAATTTTGACCCTGCGCAGTTCGGATGCCATTTGGCATGGTGACATGCACCTTGCTCCCTCCTGACACCCCCTTCCCCTCTGCCCCATGAGAAGCCAAGTCACATGGGTACCACTCTTTATCTAGGAAGATTGACCCCATGACAGATGGGAGGAGAGGCAGCCCATGTGCCTAGCTCTAGCCGCACTCACAGGGACGCTCCTGATGCATGTGGCCACCGAGCCCACTGTAGTTTGAGGCCACGTTCAGTCTTGGCACCTGCATGCTCATCTAAAATGGTGGCTGAGAGGGGCAAAGCAGGACAGGGCTTCCAAAGGACCTCCTCAACTTGCCTGGGTTGCTCACCTCCCACCCAGATAATCCCCAATGGCTGTCTTGTTCAGGCCTTCGCCCTTGTGGAGGAATTTGGCTATCTCCCGAAGGTCTGAAGACAACAGCTGGTGCTCTATCAGGTACTGGATCCCCTGTGGGAGGAGAAGCAAGACAGCAAAGTAAGACAGTTCTGGGAGCTAGCAAAAAAGCAAGACCCTAACATCCTGATATCAGCCTTCCTTGGCTTTGATGGTGTTGCCTCCTCTGTTACTCCCCAGCCCTTCCATGCGAGCACGTGACCATGTGCCCACCTTATTCCGTCCCTTGTCATCTACCTGCTCTGGGTCAGTCCCACTCCTAGTTCATCCCTGGGCTTGAATAAACATGTTTCACTGTTTCAAACAAAAAACTCTATGTAGGTTAAAAACAAAACAAAACAAAACAAAGAGGCAGGAAGATTTAAGGTAAAGTCAAAATAGTTCATTTTAACATTTTCAATCAATATGTTTATGTTTTGTTCCCAAATGCCATTTTTTCCAAATTGATTTGATTGAAAGAAATAATCAAAACATAATCAAAAAAGGTACTCATACAAATAATAAGCTTGAGACAATTTAATTTTTCTCCCTCAAATCTTCCTTGAAGCCACAGAACAGAAAAGTCTGCAATCTGTTCAACTCCATCTTCCCCACCAGGTAAGAACACTTTTTAAGGAATATAGAAGGCCTGAGCTGGGCTTGTGCAAACAACCAACATTCTGTTTTAGAGAGAATTTCCTGATTTTCAAAGTCAAGGAAAGCTGAGGTCTTATTCAGATTTATAACAACATTTAAAAACACTGCAACTTTCCAGATCACACTTCAATTTTCCACAAAAAAATGCAGTGAAAGAATGAAAATTTTATTAGATCCATCAGAATGTTCTACTTCAACAGAATCAATTCACTTTGCCTTGTAATATATAAAATACTATTTCTAAAATGCCCCAAAGAAAAGCAGTTTCAAGAGAAGAAATTGAAATGTTTGGGAGATTTTTCCACCGTATTTTTCTTTCTTTTTCCCCAGGTGGAATTTCAGTAAGATCAATTTAATTTTACAGAACATTGCAGTGCTAATGTAGTTCCATTTTCCAGAAAAAAGTGGTTATCCCAAAGGGTTTTGTTCAGGCTTATTCCTAATCCTTACCTCCCTCATCTCAGGAACTTACCCTGTGCCCTTGGGGATAGGAACTCATTTAAAGCATTACAGGGATGAAATGTACCTTAATAGGGAGGGACAAATAAAGTTCCTTGCATCATAACATCTCTCAGGCTATGGCAAGCAGCATAAAGTGAACCAAGAAACAGAGATCTGACTGTGCTTACTCTAAACTAAAAACAATACAGGCACTTAGTATGACATTTCAACCAGGCAGATTAGCATTGAGCTAAAAAAGTTAGACTGTTTTGGGGTCAGAATTAGTTCAGGTATTTCTGCACAGCATCGCACAGTGCCACAGAGAGAGAGACGCCACTGGGGCGTCAAACCAAGCTCAGACTATGAGACAAAAAGGAAGCCAGTTGTCATGTGGGCTGTAAATACTGATGTGGGTGCTCTAAGAGGGTGACCACTGGCAGAATGATGGCCAGTGGACTGTCACACACTCTAGCTGCAATGCGGACACTGGGGCAAGCAGCTTGAGGGTCTCAGCAAGGCAGGGGAGGAGGCAAAAAAAGTTGTTACTCAGAGCAGCAGTCTTCAAGGCACTAGCTGTGGTTGGCTGATGGTGAGCAATCGTTCAATTTCAGCTTGTGGTTTTCCCGTACAGAGCTCAAAAAAATGGTCCACCAGTGAGGAGGAAGGAAAAGAAACTGTCTTTCTCACATCTTCTCTATTTAGCCATGCTGATTTTAGAGCCTTCTGCAGAGTGCTGAAGGCTCTGGTGTCTGGAGGCCACTGGTCAGAGTCCCAGGAAGTGGAAAGCTTAGATTCACTCCGCAGTCCAAGCAGTACTCCTTGCCTCCAAAACAACAACGGCAGCTTGGCCTCTTCTGCTGAGAAGTGAGTTGAGGAACCTGACACACTCTCAGAACTTCTCACCTTCCCTTTACCCCATCCTCCTCCACCATATTATGGGCAGTTCTCAGCCTCACATATGCAAGAAGGGCTAGGCTGAGGGATATTTGTTTCTCTTGACACATTGGCATGGTTAAATCATTTTCCCTTTATATCTCTTTAGTTTTGGGTTGCATTTGATGGGATGCCCTACAGACACATGGTGGGGGGAGGCAACAAAGTGGACCAGTAGCCAATAGAAGCTCTTCTTCCCAGCTTTCACCTCATATCTAGAATGAGCAAATCCTACCTTTTCAGGGTCCATGTTGAACTTCTTCCGGCCCAGGGACAGAAGTTTATCCTTCTGTGATAGTGTGCTGCAGACATAAAGGTGCAGGAAACTCAGAATAAGAGGACAAGTTTCACCCAGGACACTTACAAGACAGCTCAGGTATATCAAGGACAGATGTCTGTTCAGGAGTAAAGAGAAATCTCAGAGGAGAGAAGGGTGTTCCTAGCCCCATTTCTCTGTTCTTGATGTGATCCAAATCCCATCGGTGCTCTTATTTACTCAACAACCAGTGAGAGACTTTGTAAACAAAGGGATATCCATCTTGTCCCACTTGCCTGGTGTGTTCTCCAGGGATAAGGTCTGCCTCTCGCCTCTCCTCTGCATTTTGGAAGTGCTCTATCTCTGCAAACACTTCAGCAATCTCTTCTTTCAGCTTCTGCAGGAGAAAGAGCAGGGGGGTGAGAGAGATGGAGGGAAAGGCAGGAGACACATACAGAGCATGCCTTACTTCTCCCCTCAGCCATAGGAGAAGCCCTGCTGGTAGAGAGCAGGTCAGTTAAACTCCTTGCTCCATGGACCAGCTAAGGTCTTCTGTGAAATGGGTACTGCTCTGAAGTCACCTTGCCCATCCAAAATGGATTCCAGATGGAAGAAATGAGAGAGAGAGAAGCAAAAAGATGTTCTCAGGCCTGTTGTCATCCAGGGCTGGAAAGTCATGCTTATACAGCATGGAAGAGTGAGATAACTCAGCCCAGTGTCATTTCAACTCCTCAAAGGATGTCACATGTGAGACTCATTACATCATGCCCATTTCTTTCTGGCGTTTATTTTGCATCGCCCTGCTATGCATCCAGGAAAGCAGAAGTGGAACCAGTAACTGGCAGGCTGAAATAGACTTGAAGTGGCCAAGTTGTAAAACACAGAGTTTTTAATGCACCTATCAGTCAAACACCAGTGAGTAGAAATCTGTCTTTAAGTGCAGAAAAAAGAGGGATGAGGAAAAGAGGAGGAATCATTGTCAGACTGAGTCTTAATTGTAATATTCAGCTTCCTTTAGGTCCACGACAGACCATGGCCCTCTCTGTTAAATTATCTGGGTTATCAAGGAAACAAAGATTGCTGTGATCTCCTTGTCACGATCACTATGATCTGTTTCTTTCCATCCTGCTGTTCTGGACTCCTCGTTGTCTAGGAGCCAGAGTACATCACAGGTCTTTTCCAGGATCACACAGCACAGGCATACCAGAATGGTCAGAGGAAGACGGGCTGTTGCATCCCAGATATTGCTTCAACAAGGAGTGAAGACATGGCCACACTATGTACCCAGATACAGGAACTACGAAGTTCTCTGAAATCCCACCATTTAAAAGAGCTTCTGAACCTTGATTTTGCTTCCTGCTTTCCTTCTGTCTTGCTTCATCAGGCTGCCAGAGCTGAGACTGTTCCTTAATAAATTTTGATGGTGCACAAATGTAACAAATCCATGATCATAGCTCCTGAATTACAAATAATTATCATAGTTTTGTTGTTTCCCTCATTACTGTCTTTTGTCAGTTTAACAGGCAAGTTTAGACTCATTCTCTTCCCTCCTCTCTCCCTCTCCCATCCCACCAAGCCATTCCTCCAGGTCTTTGTGTTAAAGGATATTGCTAGATGATCTCTGAAGAAATCCACGCTTGGAAAATTTCTCTCTTGCTAGATGCCCCTTTACCTAAACTCATCCCTCTGAGCAATGAATGTCACATTGATCAATGGCTTTAGGGTTTAGGATATGCGTCCATGTAGTCTAACATCTTTTTTCTGGCTGTACTGGATAAAAAAAATGTAGTGTTCTTATTCACATATCCTGCTTTTTACAGTGCCCACTGTTCACTCTGGAAACTTAGTAGGTAACAACCACAGCCTATTTTGCAAGAAAGGATAAGACATCGTTCTGATTTCTCAGCAAAGATGTTATGTCTGGAAGCCTGAGAAGCGATAGGTATTTGGCTCAATGTTCTCTCCTATGCAAGGACATGCTTCACCCATTTCCCAAGCATCTGAACGTCTTCATGCTGTCAGAAAAGCAGTGTACGTCCTATGATTCAGTTCAATAAGCTCTCTCAGATGGAAGCCCGCGTGCCATGGTGATGGAAAACAGAATGGAAACTGTACAGCACCATGCATGAATGTTATGTGGTATTACTGAGTGATTTTGAATATGTCACTTGCAGACTCTGGGAGTCAGTAGAGGAAATCTACAGGACTGCTAAAAGCAAAGAAGAAAAACAAGTTCAAACTTGGAAACTTGTGTGAGACGTCCTGCCGTCACACCTTTCTAAAGGGACAGAATCCTTCATGGAGGACTTGTTAGAGGTCCACAAAGCAAATAAAAGTTTGAAAAACATGGAGGGATGCAGTAGGTAACTAGGATATGTCATCATCAGGTAGTGAGCAATTAGAAAGAGCCGTAAATGCTGAGCCAGACCCCTGCCAGTAGAACTTAGTGAAGGTTCCTTAATGCTAAGTATGGGGTCCTAGCTCATCTCTGCTAATGAGTTGAGAAGCCTTTCTCAAATGCCCCATTGTGGTAGTTGATGACTCCTGTAGCAGAGTACCACAAGCTGGATGAATACTGATGGCACACATGCTGGGGCAGCCTGAATTTCAGAAGTCAAGCTGGATCGTGCCAAAGCAAATATCCCTTGTCCAGGAGCACTTTTGCATGGCCTGGACTGTTACTGAAGAGATTCCCTGGTGAACACATTTTTTAGAAGGCTAAGCAGTGAGGAGGAGGTAAGGTCCTTACCTTAATGTCCTTCAGAAGCTCCTCTCTGTGCTGCCTGATTGTCTCTATTTCAGCTTCTTCAGCCTCGCTCAAGTCAGATGGCTCTGGAAGAACAAACAGGTGCCTGTGAGAAGGGTACTGAGGCCCAGCACATCACAGGCAAAGCTGCCTCAGCCTCCCAATGCTCATCCTCTCCTTCTCCTAGGATCATGCCACAGTACCTCTTATATCCATGTTCCAGCCTCCCCTGCTATTGCAGCTACTGCACCTCAGATTTGCCCTGCAAATGATTCTCAGTCCAAAGCCAGCAACTCAGCCCACCATATCCCTCCTGCCTGACAGCCCTCTGATCTAACCCTGCAGCAATCTACCCTGCCTACTCAACAGATTTTACTCATTGCGAACACAGTGAAGAGGTCTCACCAAACGCTCTTTGGTGGTTTTCATGATAGTCACTTTTATGTACAAGATCTGGGGAACAGGAAGGCTGTGACCCAAATACTCCATCTAAATCCAAATGTCCCATGAAGAGCCACTAGCTTCATTGATTGATCTACCATAGCTAGAGACAGAAATGGCTTATGAGAGAGAATCAAGATTTTTCAAGTCTGAGAGCGGGATCTCGGGGATGAAAGCACTGCTGAAGGACTGTCTGTGGGAGACTGCTGTTCTGCTCTCCTCCCCCACTGTGGACTACAGACAATACAGAAATATGAGCAGGCTTCCTTGTAATGTACAGGAAGTCAAACATACAGCAGCAGAGCCAAGGAGACCACAGAATGATTCATAAAAGACCTTAAAGAATTGGGGTGACAGCAGTGCTACTAAATATAATCCAGCTGGAGCGCAGCATCTTCAGCAAGGAGAAAGAGGAGATTGCAGCCACAGAAAGGCAAAGCAGATGGTGAGCCACAGGAAAAACCAGGGGTTCACAGAAAGCTGAGAGTATGGCGCTCCTGGGAACTCACTGCAGAACTCACAGTCAAGGTCTTTGCTGTACCTAAACACTGAAAGACAAAGCTTCCTGGCAAGTCAGGTCAGGTCACTGGATGCCCTGTTCTACTGTTTTATAAGCTAAAATCCCCTGGGCCTCCCATCTTCCTGGAAAAAGGGGAAGTGGCACCAGCTGCCTTGGAAATACTCTTAGTGTGGATCTCACATGCAAAACAACTGCTATAAATATGGGTGGGGAGAAAAGGGGAAGGAACCAGCTAAGACAGATAAGAGGAAAGGGGACAAAGGCAGTCAGGTTGGAGCCTATATGCTTCTTTCCTGCCATACCCAAAACAGCTCAGAGAGACCTGTCATCCCTAATCCTAATTTTTCCCCCATCCTGGCTGGTTGGGTTTCTATGTGCTAACTCTGTGCTAGCACCTTTTCCAGACTGCAGCCTCTCGCTGACACTCTTACAGACATTTTCAAGCACTGCATTCCCCAGGGAGAGGCTGCCACACCCCTGGAGGGAAAGCGTAGGGCAAGTAAACATTGGGAAGTGTGGGCTGAGAAGGGCCCATATCCCCTCCTAGCTCTGCAAGGAACCTCCATGAAGAGCTGAAAAAACCTGACTGCTTCTGAAGCTGGTTGAGAAGGGAGGAAAAGTTGTGGCATCCAGCAGCTTGCAACAGCCAAATCTGTGGGCCAGAAATTAAAAACAAATAAACAAAACCCCATGCAGTGGCTTTGCTGCATGTTGGGCAGGTTGCTGACTCCCCCTTGAATGTCAGCCTGGCCTGTGAGCAGTGTTCAAGAAAACCTGGGCCTTTCAACTTACTTTTATGTCTCCCCCAGTTCTGGAGCCTGCAGGAGATGAGGCCAGCCTCTCCACCTCTCCAGCTTTATCTCCCTCACCCCCTGGGGCCTGGGAATTGTGGAATCACTGGAGTCATACCTTGTCAAATTATCACTAAGACATCTTGGCCTGTACTTGTTTCCACAAAAGCGCTGCAGCAGGACTCACCTGAGGAGTCTTCCCTTCCTCCATCCCATCAGCAAACTGAGTGGTGTGGCTGGCTGCTTTGCTTCAGTTGCTCTGTGTCTACTGAAGCAGCCTAAAGCATCTCAAAGAGACATGAGGATCCCAGAGGATATTGTCTCACTCACATGACCCCCGCTGAAACTGTAAATAACTCAGTCCCCCTTTCTCCTGAACATTTGAAAACCCCAACTGATTTACCTGCCCAGCCTGTCAGAATGAGGAAAGTATGGGGAGGGTGGGGGAGACAAAGCATATGAGTCTTAAGGAGAAGGGGAAGGAATCAAGGAATTAAAAAAAACAGAAGGGGTGAAAAAAGGAGGGAAAAAAAATACAAGGATCAAACTTCCAGAGCAATTTAGGTACCCAAAGGTGCAGAGAGGGTCCTTGTAAGGTTTTATAAGTAGCCTAAACAGCTTAAGTCCCTGGTTGCCTTGGAAAATAACTCTGAGGTCAGTTCTTGTAAATCACTCTGCTTCTCTAACAGAACTCCTGATGCTCTGTTCCAGGCTATTTTGAGGCTATTCATCAATGTTAGTGCATGCACTGGGGACTACAGTTAGGGGAAGTGAACACAGAAGTCGTGTTTGGGGAACCGTCCATAGAAAGTCACAGAAAGCAACAGAGGCGGGGGGCAAGCAGCAGATGAGATAATGGGAGCAGACTGCTTTGCCTTCCTTCCTTCTCCACTTTCAGAACAACCTGAATCAGCAGGAGAAGGAGATTTTCAGTGAAGTATTACCCTGACTCACTCCAGACTCTTGGAATGGCAGGGGGAATTCATCCCTACACAAGGGGACTGAGGCGGGGTTTCAGCACCATCAAAATCCTCCATACCACCAAGTTCCACTTCCTTTTAGGGTCAAATCAGGACACAGATGATGCATAGCCCATGTCAGGGTTCTCTGCACAGGGGGAAATTTCACCTACTGCTGAAGAACACCCTATGAAAACACCCACAGGTTTCAGGGGGATGCTGGCAGTCAAACACAACTCTGAAGAACACAACACATAAGCAGTGTGTTGTGATACTGGCTAGTACCCTCTCCGAAGTGGACTTGTGGCTGCTGGGAACCTAATTTCCAGAGAACAGATCTGGAGGGAGAGCATGAGAGCACCACACTTGTGGGACTCACACCTGCTCTGGAGGTTGCTTTTTCGCTCAGGGCAGACCCATATAGAAAGACCTGCCGCTTGCTCATAAATCACCCAGCCTTGTGTTTTTAGTGCTGGATCTCAACACAGAACAGAGATTTAAATTCCAATTGTGGTGTCTTAGGCCATCAGCCTCCTGATCTGGAGAGCAGGCTGGAGTTACCCAGAAGTCTAGGTGCTCGTGTGGCCAGCCAAGAGTAACTGCTTCCCATTGCAGTGGGCTGTGCAAAGCTGTCCAGGTGCAAAGTGAGGCCTTCAATTCCAAGCAAAAGTATACAAATGAGAAAGTAGCTTTTGGAGCATAGAGGTAAGTGGGCAGTACTTACAGGAGAACTGGAAGGATGGTCTGTAGAAGCAGCAGTGGAAGGTTACCAAGAATGACTGTCTGCAGCACTGTTATAGACCATCCATGTGCATCCACGAGCATGCCTACAGCATGACAGCAGAGGTTCAGCTGGCCCCTTTTCCAGTAAATAGTATTTACTATTTTGGCCACAAAAGACTTTAGGATCCTCCACCCAGGACAACACACAAGCAGACCAGCCTGTTGGGCACCACCTGCCTGGTTGAGCCTGCGTGATGGAAGAATTTTATCTGAAATTCCTTCTCTTTTTTGAATTGGGCTACAGGACTGTGTCATCTTCAGCACAGATGACCACCCACCCAGCCAGGTACCAGGGCAAGGACCTACCAGTTACTCAGTTCCCTCCAGCCCAATCTGTTTCTCTCCTGCAGCCACTCTACAGTTCTCTGCCAGCTTGTTCCAGAAGAAATTCAATAGTGAGCTCACACAGGTAGAAACTGCTCTTTCCTGCTATGTTGGGGAAAGGTGGGAAGAAGAGCTTATGTTGGCTATTGGTCCCCTTATCCCACATGACAACCTACAGCACTCAGGACAGTTTCCAACCACTTTAACCTGGGGCTCCCACCCCGCACATCCTGTGTTGTGATAGAGGGGTACAGGCTTGCTCCCCCAACCCCTGCTACCCAGCTCAGTGATTTGGCATATTGGCTTTGTGGCCTTACCCAGGCAGTCACTCAAGGGTCCTGAAGGAACCTGAAAGAGGAAGTCCACTGCAGGGAGAACAAACTCCCCATAGACATAGGGCTCAACTTCACCCAGCCTGAGCAGGCAGGTACCTAACAGGGGCGTTGCTTCTCTAGGTAGGAGAGACTCCAGGAAAAGTACAAGGAGTACACACACCCATGTCTTTCAGACAAATGATGCCACAACTGAGCAACTTGAAACACATCCAGGGCTTCAGAGTCCACTGGAAACCTGCATCTGTGGGGAGTCTTGGCTCCCAAGGTGGAGCAGCATCAAACAAGCCTACTTCCTAACCAGACTGTGAAGTGACAAGTTGGGATTGAACAAAGACACCAGTCAAAAATCTCTCTTCAGGCATTGCCTGTGTCCTGGCTCTGCCTCTAGCGAGAGCTGAGCAAAACCTCATCATCCCTGAGCAGGACCCCTTTGCACCACTGCAGTGCATAGTTTTAAGATATAATTAACTCAATAACACATAATTTTACTAGATGACTGTCAGACTATCCATTCTGAGAGCCCCAGTTTTTGTGGAAAATAGACCTTAAAATAAGCTCTGTACCGGCAGAGAAACATGAGATACCCACCTCCCTTCCCACCTCAGTTTGTCCTGCAGCAGCTTTCTTTACTTTTGCTTTCAGGCAGTGAGAGCCGGGTGCTGTGAAGACACCCACCTTCACCAACACACACAGCCAAATTCTGGCAAGGGCTCAGCTCCCATGAGTCCCACCAATTTCCCTGGCAGGCAAGCCCAGTGTGGGATTTGATCTGGCCTGTAGAAGCTCCTTTGCCATCTAGCTAGGAGCTAACAAAGCAGAGAACTGTTGCTGAAATTGAGCAGTGCTTTTTCCCTTCACTCTGTGCTACATATCTTATATGCAAAGGCCTGCTAGGATTGAGTCTCAGTGTCCTTGCAAAATGATCCCTTTTCTTTCTTGCTCCTGCTCAGCCTATATCCTCTCTGCTTTTCCTTTCCATTGCCTTTCCTCAAGCATACACACACATAGCCAGAAGGGGGCTAGAAACAGTCTGTCAATTAGTATCCCTTGATTTGCTAAATCCCAATCACTTTATCCACCACCTGCCAAAGTAGGAAATAAAAACTGAGATCTCTCTCTGTTTCTCAGATGCAGCTCATCTCCTCCACCCACGCCTGCCTTTTGAGATTATTTTAAGACTAGGCAGGCCCACCTGCAGGTCATTTGGAAGTGCTAGAACCCCAATACAGTCATTTGCCTTAACATGGGGATAAGCAAGAGAGGATGCCACTGCCAAAAGCCTTGTAAGCCTGTCACACTGGGAAACTCAACTGCATGAGATGCTCTTGCAAAGGCAAAACAGCTCCTGGAGGCTGTAGGGA